AAGTGCTATGTGTTGTCATTATTGTATGTTCCCATACATTGGCAAAATTAGTTCTCTGCATTTAACCCATCACTTGTGAGATAGACCCAGGTGGAGCGATGAGCAGCTATGCAAGAGCCCGGGGAGCAATTAGGGATTAGGTGTCTTGCTCAGAGACACCACGACATGTGGACATGGCAGGGAGTTGAACCTGCAACTTTCTGGTCCCAAGTCAAGACTTTCAAAACATTCTGAAGCAAACTGTGCTGTCAAGTGTCAAAAAGTTTGGTATCAGTTGCAGGTCATGTGTCATCCATCCATCCATCCATTTTCTTCCGCTTATCCGGGGTCGGGTCGCGGGGGTAGCAGCCTAAGTAGGGAGGCCCAGACTTCCCTCTCCCCAGCCACTTGGGCCAGCTCTTCCGGGGGAATCCCGAGGCGTTCCCAGGCCAGCCGAGAAACGTAGTCCCTCCAGCGTGTCCTGGGTCTTCCCCTGGGCCTCCTTCCGGTGGGACGTGTCCGGAACACCTCACCAGGGAGGCGTCCAGAAGGCATCCTAAACAGATGCCCAAGCTACCTCAACTGGCTCCTCTCGATGTGGAGAAGCAGCAGCTCTACTCCGAGTCCCTCCCGGATGATCGAGCTTCTCATCCTGTCTCTAAGGGAGAGCCCAGACACCCTGCGGAGAAAACTCATTTCGGCCGCTTGTATCCGAGATCTCATTCTTTCGGTCACAACCCAAAGCTCGTGACCATAGATGAGGGTGGGAACGTAGATCGATCGGTAAATTGAGAGCTTCGCCTTTTGACTCAGCCCTCTCTTCACCACGACAGACCTGTACAGCGCCCGCTTCACTGCAGACGCTGCACCTATCCGCCTATCGATCATACGCTCCATTTTTCCCTCATTCGTGAACAAGACCCCAAGATACTTGAACTCCTCCACTTGGGGTAGGACCTCCTCCCTGACCCAGAGAGGGCACTCTACCCTTTTCCGGCTCAAGACCATGGCCTCGGATTTGGAGGAACTGATCTTCATCCCGGCCGCATCGCATTCGGCTGCGAACCGCTCCAGCGAAAGCTATAGATCACGATCTGATGAAGCCAATAAGACCACATCATCTGCAAAAAGCAGAGACGCAATTCTGAGGCCACCAAAACGGATCCCCTCAACACCTTGGCTGCGCCTAGAAATTCTGTCCATAAAAGTTATGAACAGAATCGGTGACAAAGGGCAACCTTGGCGGAGTCCAACTCTCACCGGGAACAAGCCCGACTTACTGCCGGCGATGCGGACCAGGCTCTGACACTGGTCATACAGGGACCTAACAGCCCGTATCAAAGGGCCTGGTACCCCATACTCCCAGAGTACCCCCCACAGGGCCCCCCGAGGGACGCGGTCGAACGCCTTCTCCAAGTCCACAAAGCACATGTAGACTGGTTGGGCAAACTCCCACGCACCCTCCAGGACCCTGCTGAGAGTGTAGAGCTGGTCCAGTGTTCCACGGCCAGGACGAAAACCGCACTGTTCCTCCTGAATCCGAGGTTCGACTATCCGACGGACCCTCCTCTCAAGAACCCCCGAATAGACCTTACCAGGGAGGCTTAAGAGCGTGATTCCCCTGTAGTTGGAACACACTCTACGGTCCCCCTTTTTGAATAGGGGGACCACCAA